GGAGCCCCCCACCTCACCTGGCTAATTTATAGTAGAGATGGGGTTTTTCCATGTTGGCCAGGCTGGTCTCCAACTCCTGACCTCAAGTGATTCACCTACTTCAGACTCCCAAAGTGCTGGGATTACAGGCGTGAGCCATGGCTCTTGACCTCTATCTTTGTTTTTAAACCTCTAAAGACATATTTGAATGTGCAAGTCACCCAATTCTTTTTATACATTTTTTACCAAAAAGTTCTCTCCTATGAAATTTTAATTTTCACTATGCCTGCCTAGCACTTGTTCTGAACTCAAAGCTGGGAAAGGGGAGCACCACTGCAGACTGTGTCAGTGGAACATTTAACAATAGTCCTGTGAGCAAAGGCGGTCGATTTCAGATGAGAATTGTAAAGCTCTATGACTCCAGGCTCAGGAATTCCCTGGTCTGCCTGATGACCTCCTGACTACTCTCTCTTTCCCTAGTGAATTGTACCTCTCTCATCTCTGTTTTCTCTATCTGAGACAGGTCCTTGCCTTACCTTTCTTTCTTCACTGCCTATTCTAGATCCTAGTGGTCCAGATGATCTCACTCCTTGACATTCTCCCCCAAGATATCTTCATGACTCACTCCCTCACCTCCTGTCGGTCTTTACTGCTCAGTCGCTCTCTCTCACTCTCTCTCAATCTCACACACACACACACACTGTATACTATTCCCTATCCCCTACTCCTTAGTTTACTTTGTTCCCAAGCACTCGATTTCATTGTATTCATGATGTATTCTGTTTATTGTATATTCCTCATCCCACTTTATCTGTAAACAAAGTTTAGAGATCTTTGTTATGTTCACCGATGTATCCCCAAAATGACTAAGACAATGCCTGGTATACAGTATGTGTTCAATAGCTTTTTGTTGAATGAATAAATGATTGCTCAAACAAGCACCCTAGATGCCTTCACCACCCAAGCTTCCTCCCACTTTATTGTTTCAACTTCTCAAATTGAATTTATCCATCATCATTTTCTCAGTCTCTGATACTGTGACTTCTGCTATTTTCAGGCTGTTTTCAGGCTGGTGAGAGTTACTGTAGAAAATCATAGACATCTGCCAAGAGGATCCACTGTAAATCTGTATTGCTAAACCTCACATATGCCTCAGTCATGCCTGACAAACCTTGTATTTATCTTATGTTACGTCCCCAGCAAACTCCATGCTGTGATGTTCTAAAACACTTCTCCTTTTTGGGTTTGCCTAGAGTGAGATTTTCAACTCACTCATAGCCAATGTTCAGACTCCAGCAATTGTTTTCATTTCTGCAACAGGTTCCTGCTCTTGTTGTCTTCTCTTTTTCTCATCTACTTCTAATTTAGGCAATCTTGCTAAATTTCAAGCCTACTCATGAGCTGCTTTAAATTATTATTCTTTTTAAACAGAGAGGTTATACAATTTTATTTTTTTAATATTCTTAGGTGATTTCTAAAAGCTCTTTGTAAGCTTAATTTTAATGGCTGCCTAATATTCCATTATGTGATCATGTACTTATCCTTCACTAATGTTGGACATATATTTTTCCACTTATTTTGTTTTTACAAAAATCTTGGGACATAGCCGTTATTTTGCATTTCTGCAAATTCCTTAGGGTAGATTCCCAGATTTACTGGAGTTAAAAAGTATAAACATTTTAAGACTCATAGTGATTGTTGTCAAATTTCTTTTCAAAAATGTTGCACTGATTTGTTCCTACTCCTCACAGTGACCATTTCATTATACCTTCACCAGGTCTAGGAATTCTCATTCTATAATTTTTTTCAAACTGGATAGACAAAGAATGGTATTTCATTTTAACTGCATCTCTTTCATCTTTTGTGTATATGACTTTTTAAACATATTCATTAGCTATTTGTATTTTTCTTTTTGTGAATTCCTTCTTAATATTTTTCTATCCATCTACTGAAATGTTCATTTTCCTGGTTATTTTGTCTATGTTCTTAATAAATTTCATGTAGTAATTATGTATAATATTTATGAACAATAATTTTCCAGTTTAATAACTGCCTTTTTGTTCTGTTTTTGCATTTTTATTAATGTATATACACACTATTTTGTTTTACTTATTTTCTTGAGATAGAATTTTGTTCTGCCGTCCAGGCTGGAATGCAGTGGAGTGATCACTTCTCACTGCTGCCAGGACCTCCAGAGCCCACTGAACTTCCCACCTCAGCCTCCCAAGTAGCTGGGACTACAGGAACACACTACCATGCCAGGTTAATTTTTAAAGAGATGAGGTCTTATTATATTGTCCAGGATGACCTCAAACTCCTGGACCCAAGAATCCTCCACCCCAGCCTTCTATGTATCTTTGCTTTTAATCTTAGTCTTCCTTGATCCAAAAATTTGATCATTTATTTTAATTTTAATTTTTATTAAACATTTATAGTAACATTTTTATTAAACATTTATAACATTTTTATTTTATAAACATTTATAATAACATTTTTAATAGTTAAATATTTGTGGCCGAGGTGGGTGGATCACAAGGTCAAGAGATTGAGATTGAAATCCTGTCTCTACTAAAAATACAAAAATTAGCCAGGCATGGTGGCACGCGCCTGTGGTCCCAGCTACTCGGGAGGCTGAGGCGGAAGAATCCCTTGAACCCAGGAGGCGGAGGTTGCAGTGAGCCGAGATTGCACCACTGCACTCTAGCCTGGAGACAGAACAAGACTCCGTCTCAAAAAAAAAAAAATCTGTATACCTTCAATATTGCACGTGTTAGAACATACATTTTTCTCCAGCCAATTATTCCAGTTTTGGAGTTCTAACATGACCAACAAATAACAGTCCTTCCCCTTCATGAGTTAGAAACCAATTAAGAGATATACATATAATGTGGGTAAATGTTTTCTTTTCTTTCTCTTTTTTCTTTTTCTTTTTTTTTTTTTTTTGAGATGGAGTTTCATTCTTGTTGTCCAGACTGGAGTGCAATTGCATGGTCTCAGCTCACTGCAACCTCCACCTCCTGGGTTCAAGAGATTTTCCTGCCTCAGCCTCCCAAGTAGCTGGGATTACAGGAGCCTGCCACCACACCAGGCTAACTTTTTTTGTATGTTTAGTAGAGACGGGGTTTCATCATATTAGCCAGGCTGATCTCGAACTCCTGACCTCAGGTGATCCTCCCACCTCAGATGTTGTTTTCTCTATTCCTGATTAAAGCTGATTAGAAAATGTAATTTTAGATAAGCAGCCAAAATAGTCTGCAACCATACCTTACCCTGAATTAAGCTGCCTCATTCACAAAATCCCAGGCCATGCTTGACCCCTACTGAGTTCCCTAAGGGCAGGGGCAGAAACTACCTCTTTAAGAGCCACTGAGCTGAGGCAGACCAGCTTGAAGCTTCTCCGAAAGCAGACAGATCCTGAAAGAGAGGAGGGGCCTGAGCCACACAATCTGTTTCTTCTAAACTCATCAATCAGATATTTCCTTCTTCCTGACCCAAGAGAGAAAATGAAGACTGGGAGAGAGCCCAGGAGTGCAGCTGTAGCTGGACTACATAGAAACGCACACTCAGGAAAACTGTTTCTCTCCATTTCTTCCTCAGCCCCATGCCTACCCCAACCAATATCTAGCACTATTCATTGGAGAATCCTTCCCTTCCTCCCTGTTTTGTGATGTCTTTCTCATCATCATCATCATCATCATATATATCCTATGGCCTCTTTCTGACCTATCTATTCTGTCCTGCTGAATTATTCTAGCCGGAGAGATAAACTGATAACCTTATGCTATCTTCTGTTGCTTTTTACTTTCTTGGAAAGCTAAACCCTCTCCACCACCCTTTATTTACCCTCAAAATGTATGAGTTACTATTGCCTGTTTGTCCTCCAGATGCACTTTGGAATGATTTTGTAATATTCCAAAAATATTGTGATTTTGAGTAGAGCCATATTAAACTATAAATTAATTTAGTAGAAATTGACAACCTTATAATATTCAGTTCTCCCATCCAAGAACATAATGGCTCTATTTATTGAAGTCTTTTTTATATCTTATAGTAAAATCTTATTATATCTTCATACAAATCTCTCATATTTCTTAAGTTATTTCTAGGTATTTCATCTCTATGGAGATAACTATAACTAACTAGGAATAACCTAACAAGAAACATGCTATATTGGGAATGAAATATTTTTCCATTATGTTTCCTCTCTGGTTATAGTTAGTATCTAGAAAATCTGGTAATTTTTCTTTTTTCTTTTTTTTTTTTAAATTTTTTGTTGTTGTTTGTTTTGATACAGAGTCTTGCCCTGTTGCCAGGCTAGAGTGCAGTGGCATGATCTCGGCTCACTGCAACCTCTGCTTCCTAGGTTCAAGTGATTCTCCTGCCTCAGCCTCCCAGTAGCTGGGACCACAGGTGCACACGACCACGTTCAGCTAGTTTTTGTATTTTTAGTAGAGACCGGGTTTCACCATGTTGGCCTGGATGGTCTTGACCTCTTGACCTCGTAATCCTCCCTCCTTGAACTCCCAAAGTGCTGGGATTACAAGCGTGAGCCACCGTGCCTAGCCTCATGTGTTTTTCTTTATATGTGTGTATCTTTCATATATTAAGTCATTCTTTTTTTTTTTTGAGACAGAGTCTCGCTCTGTCACACAGGATGGAGTGCAGTGGTGCCATCTCAGCTCACCACAACCTCCACCTCCTGGGTTCAAGTGATTCTCCTGCCTTAGCCTCCTGAGTAGCTGGGATTGCAGGCATAGGCCACAATCCCTGGCTAATTTTTGTATTTTTAGTAGAGAATGTGTTTCACCATTTTGGCCAGGCTGGTCTTGAACTCCTGACCTCGTCATCCACCTGCCTCCGCCTCCGAAAGTGCTGGGATTACAGGCATGAGCCACCACACCCAGCCTATTCTGTCATTCTTTTCACTCTTTTATTAGCCAATACTTTCTCGTACAATCCCCTTGGGTTTTCTAGACCAGAGCTCTCCTATGAGTGTGCATGCAGCCTCAGATGTGGCAAGCATGGGGATCCTGGTCTTCTGTGAGATACTGACTGCTCCAGTAGGCAAGGAAAATCTGGGGCCACCACTTGTAGCTGGTCACCTGCAATCATGAACTCCTTGGAGGGCCTGGCTCTGTTGCCCAAGCTGGTGTGCAGTAGCCTGATCACAGCTCACTGCAGCCTCAACCTCCCAGGCTCATTCAATCCCCTGAGGGGAGCCCTAAGCAGAGTATTTCTGACTATGTGTTGTCACCATTAGCAATTGAGCATAGTTCCCCACACCAATTTGCAGCGCTCTCAGCTTCCTGGCCGCACCTAAACACAGCCAAAGAAGCACTCTACAGCCTGGGCAGCTCCTTCTGGCTGGCAGCAGAGCGCGTCTCTGTGCCATGTGGTCTTGGGCCTACAAGCTGCTGGAGGACTCTGGGTTCCAGGTGCCCACCATACTTGGATCACAGCCCAAGGTGCAATAGATTGTGGGATTGGGGCAGATGCTTCACCAGCTGGCAGCTTGGAGTCATTGTCCTGACACTAAGCACATACTGTCATTTATTTTGTGGCTGATGGATTTTCCTAGTGACATTCAAACTACTTGCAAGATGACTGCTCCAATAACACATGCCCTTTCTTCATATGAGTGCTTCCTCACTACTTTGAAATTCATGGTGTAATAAAATTCCTGTTTATACACGGACACATGGGAGGAACGATACACAATGGGGCCTATTGGAGGGTGGAGGGTGGGCAGAGGGAGAGGGTCAGGAAAAATAACTAATGGGTACTAGGCTTAATACCTGGGTGAAAATAATCTGTACAACAAACCCCCATCACACAAGTTTACTTGTATAACAAACCTGCACTTGTACCCCTGAACCTAAAAGTTAAAAAGAGAATCTAAAGGGGAAAAAAAATCTGTTTTAAAAAAAATCTATTTGCTTCTGAAAAAAAAAAAAGGAAAAAATCTGTTTGCATTATCACAACAGATTTCAATAACACATTTTTCTAGAATAATAAAAGAGCTGTTGCATTCTTTTGGCAACTATTGTAAATTTGATAGATAAAAAATAAAATATTTTGTCAGCAACTAATATGAACAAAGTTTCTCATTCATGTTGACTACCAAGAGATGACCATTGAAAAACTGACATCAATAAATATTTATGGCTTTTTTAGGCATATGATCTGATATGAAAGTTTTGTCCACAGAAATAAGCCTAAGTTTCTAGGTAACCAATGTGAGAATATTTTACTTGGATGTTTTATATAAATTTGATATTTAATGTATTCCCTCATACTTTACATTTTATTTTTATTACTGTAATTATAAAAAGAAAATTGCTTCTGAATCTCATATGGTTCACTCCAGTATATCTTACAGATATTATCTTTTTTTTTCACATTCTATAATGTGGAAAGGTCGGGAATTACTGTTTGAGAATAGCAAGCATATTATCTGCAAATAATGATAACCTTAAATATTCTTTGATAATAATTAGACTTTGTTTTTTGAGACAAAGTTTCACTTTTGTTGCCCAGGCTAGAGTGTAATGGTACAGTCTCATCTCACTGCAACCTCCTCCTCCCAGTTCAAGTAGTTCTCCTACCTCAGCCTCCAGAGTAGCTGGGATTACAGGCATGCGCCACCACATCCGGCTAATTTTGTAGAGTTTTAATTTCTGCTTAAACCATTGCATCAGTGAGAACTTCTGCAAATACACACACACACACACACACACACACACACACACACAACAACAACAACAACAACAACAACAAACACCCGTGGGATTGAGCGTCTCTCCTGTCTGCTGCAGGACCATGGGATATCAGCCATGCCTTTCTCTCCTGAACTGTTAACCTCTTCTCTCTACCCTTCCTCCCCTTTAGCTTATTAACAGAATCAAATTCTCCATCTTAAAAAAGAAAGGTATATTTTATCAGATTTGCATTCTCAGGCAAGTCTTACCATCAAACTTTGTCAAAAAGTTTATGTCAACCTCCTCCCTTTCCACTGCTCTTAATTACTTTTCAATTCAAGATAGTTTGGCTCCTACTCTGAAACATGCTACCAAAACAGTCTCAGAGGATCATCTTCACCTTGCAAAGCCCTAGGTTCTCTTTAGAGTCCTCATCATTCCTGACACCTTTGCTAATCTCCTTCCTTCCCGTTTAAAAGTAAGTGCCATCACTGTATTCAGCACTTACTGGGAGTCAGGAATTGTGCTAAGCGCTTAATTTAGATTACCTCATTCAATCTTCATGACATCCTTATTTTTAGACTTATACTACCCATTTTACAGATGAGAAAAGACAAGTAAAATTCTCCAAGGTCACACAATGAGGAAAGAGACACTATTGGGAATTCAGATGTCTTGAAAACTTTTTAATCCTTATTTGTTTTCTATGTCATTTATTTTTTGTGTTGTTCTTATCCTGTATCTCTGTTGCTCATTTTCAAAATTCAGGAAGTTTTCATTCATTATACTTCAAATATTTTTTCTGAAGTTTACTCCTTCTACTCTTTTTCTGGGACTCTGATAATATAAATTTAGAATTTTTGATGTTCCGCAAGAGAGAGAGTGCTTCCGCCCTTCCCACCTCTGCCAAGTCTTCTTTTCTCTTGTTCAGATTGGATAATTTCTACTGATCTTTTTTCAAATGTACTGATTCTTTTGTTATCTTCGTTCTGCTCTTCAGTCTATCTGAAAAAGTTTTTATTTTGGTTATTATATTTTTTAGTTTTAAATTTTCCATCTGGTTCTTTTTATGTTTTCTATTATTTGCTGAGATTTTTATCTTTCTGTTCATTTCAAGACTGTGCTTATTTTGTGGTGCATTTCCATAATATTTAAAGGCTATAATTTCAAAATTGTGTCACCTCAGTGTTGGCATCTGTTGCCTATCTTTTCTCATAGAAGTTGATATTTTCCCTGGTTCATTGTATACTGAGCAGTTTCGGATTGTATTCTTGACATTCTGAATGTTACATTACGAGACTCAGAGTCTTGTTTAAATCCTATGGAGAATTTTGATATTTTTGTTTTAGCAGGCAACTAACCTAGCTGGATTCAGATCAAAAGCCCAAGCAGCTTCTGTGGGTTATAGTTTTAATGATGATTCAGTTTACAAAGCCTTTGCAAGACCAATTGGATCTGTCTCATGTGTGTCACCCAATCTCATAGTTCGCTTCTCATAGTGTCTGATATTCTATCTAGGGTCAGAGGTACACAAGTGCAGGTCAAGGGTGAGTCCTGGGGTTCATAAACAACTCTACAGGGTGGATTTTCTGAGCCTTTCTCTTTCCAAGATCTCCCTGATTCTCTCCAATTCACTATGGCTTCCCTTTTCAGTCTGAGTATTCAGTTACCCCACTCTTCTGTGTGCTTCCCAACATATGTTGTATGCATCCCCAACCACAAAATATGCACTCAATATGAAAGGACCAATTTAAGTGCCTTGTCTATCCCTGGACCAAGAACGGTCAGCAGGGGGATGCCTTGAACTGACTGGCTAGCACCAATTAGGACACTCCTCAGGGGCTCAGGATGGGTTAACCATTTGACAAAATCTGCGCTCTGTGAAGAATAGTGACATGACTGTTGGGTAGACAATGAGTAAGGTCTATGCATGACTCTTTTCCCCCTTTTCTTCCCTAAACCAATAAAGGGCATCATCATTCTCCCATCACTCAGGCTGAAAGCCTGAGTTTCCTTTGTGTCTGTGCATTTCCACACCACTCACACACCTGTAAATATCCAGTCCAATGCTGGGCCTAAAGATACCTCCTGATCAAAGCTGCTCTCTTTGATCCTGGATGTCTAGCCAATGTTTTTACTTATGGCTAGTGTTCCATTATTAGAATGCTAAACCTGTGGGAGTTATTTATATCCTACTGCTCGAAATCATTGCCAAGGTCTGATTTTCACACACAAAAAAATTGCAACCTCCAGCATAAATGGGTTAAAGTCTGCTCTCTAATCCTTGCCCTCAGATTCTCCCTTCTCACAGTCAGCTTCCAAAAGCAGAAGGCAACTGGTTATCAAACAAATGGAAGTCCTTAGCATTATAATCAAGGCTTCCCCATACCTACCCTGCTTTTCCAAAAGTTGGACCTTTCAGCCCCACACAACAACCTCGAGGAAAGAAGAGGTTACTGGAGATCAAGTTCTCTAAAAACTCTTGGACAATAAGATTTGATGAGCTGTACACATGGAGGTCCTGGGAGGGTGCATGACTAGAGAGAGCATGGAAGCTCCATGCCCCACTAAACCTTACCCTATCCATCCCTTCACTTGGAAACATGATGACTACATCTGTATCCTTTGTCATATCCTTTATAATAAACCAGTAAATATAATTAAGCATATCTGCTCAGGCGCGATGGCTTACGCCTATAATCCCAGCACTTTGGGAGGCCAAGGCGGGTGGATCACCTGAGGTCATGGGTTTGAGACCAGCCTGGCCAACATGGTGAAACCTTATCTCTACTAAAAATAAAAAATTAGCCAGGTGTGGTGGCACATGCCTGTAATCCCAGCTACTTGGGAGGCTCAGGCAGGAGAATCACTTGAACCTGGGAGGCGGAGGTTGCCATGAGAGCTGAGATGGTGCCACTGTACTCCAGCCTGCGCAACAGAGCGAGACTCCGTCTAAAAAAAAAAAAAAAAAAATATATATATATATATGTATGTATGTGTGTGTGTGTGTATATATGTGTGTGTGTGTATATGTGTGTGTGTGTGTGTGTGTGTGTATTTCCCTGGGTTCTGTGAGCTGGTCTAGCAAATTATGGAACTTAAGGAGGGGGTGATGGGACTCTCAATTTGTAGCCAGTCAGTTTGAAGTAGGGGTGACTTGGACTTGTGTTTGGCACTTGGAGTGGGGGCAGTCTTATTGAGCTTAGCCCTAGATCTGTAGGATCTAACACTGTCTCCAGGTAGATAGCCTCAGAATTGAATTACAGCATACCTAGCTGGTGTCTGCTGGAGAATTGCTTGGTTTGGGGAGGGGAGTGGGGAGAATCATAAATATGGTCACAGAAGTGTTCTGTGTTGAGTGT